CAGCTCGAAAACTGAAAACACGAGGAAGCCTCTCCCCGCAACTTTATGGATTACCAAAATTACACAAACCTGGTGTACCACTGAGACCCATCTTGTCGTTAAGGAACTCCCCACAACATCAACTGGCAAGTGGCCTGTCAACGTATTACAGCCAGTGAGAAATTCTATGATCAAATATACCGTGAAAGACTCTTTTGACATGGTAAATCAATTAAACCAACTGAACATTGCTAAGAAGCACATGGCTTCGCTGGACGTACAATCATTATTCACCAATGTTCCTGTTCGTGNAATAATTTGTGATCACATCGAAGGACATCAAGTGAGAACCATTTTGCCTACCTCTATCTTAGAGAGACTCCTACTACTGTGTACTACAAATGTCTCGTTTACATTCCAAGGAATGGCATATAGAAAAATTGATGGCGTGGCTATGGGAAGCCCTTTGGGACCAGTACTTGCGGATTTATTCATGGCACATTTGGAATCTCAAGCTCAGAATCTACTGAAACAAGCGACATCATACAGAAGATACGTTGACGACATTCTTATTATCACGGATAATGTGAAACAGACCAATAAGATCCTCAAAGGCCTCAATCGACCACATCCGAATATCCGATTCAGCATGGAACTGAACAGAACAATAGCCTGGGCTTCCTTGATATCAGTATCACTCGAAAGGGGAATGGAACTATGTCACGATCGGTCTATCGTAAAAAAAACTTGGACAGGTCAGTACATGCACTTTGGAAGTTTTGTGCCGATTGCATATAAACGTGGTCTTGTTCATACCCTATTGCACTGAAGACACGATATCAAGCGAGATCAACTTCTTACGTCACACGTTAACAAGAAGTGGTTATCCCGAGGAGTTTGTTGACAAGCACAGTAGATTGAAGATTGAAAAACCGGTTGTTGCGTCAGCGCCTAGATTAGAGATCACGATTTGTCTTCCATTCAAAGGTGATGATGTAACTAATCTAATCCAACAACGGTTACAATCGGTTGTCAACCGGACTTATTACGCAGCCAAACCCAGAATTGTGCACAGGACAAGGAGTATACCCGTCCCCCCGGTTAAAGAACGCCCTTCTCTGTACGCCAGCTCAAACGTAATCTATCAATTCCAATGTGAGTGCGGACACACTTACAAAGGCAGAACAGAAAGGCAATTACGTAATCGGGTTTTAGAGCACATTCCAAACTGGGTTCAACGCAAGCTTGTTATAAAAATGTCCACACAGCCGGTAATTGGTAAGGACCGTGCTTACAAACCACCAAGCTCATCGATTGCCAAGCACTTGTTGATGAAGAAACACCTTGCGGATCGTGAGAAAGCATTTCGAGTGATTTTTACTAACGATAACACTAGAATGCTCAAGATAGCCGAGGCGATTGCAATTATCCGATGGAAACCAATTCTGTGTCAACAAAAAGACTTGTTCCTCACCTTGGCTTTACCTTGTTGATGCCCCCCCTATTTACAAGTTTAATTTGTAGTTCATTCCCAAACCATATATAAACATTGTATTTGTCTGCAGTAGGCACCAGTTGAGATGCAGCGAAATCGTCCAGGACATAAATCGTGCAATGTTGCTATACTGGCTTCTCTTTTCAAATTTATCACGGGAAAAGCTTGCTTCAGCTTTTTGTAATCTTTGAATGATTTTCTGTGGGTTTTTAGGTGTGAAATGTGTCCGACTCTTTTTGTGACTCACTGCATTAACTAGTGGACAGTACGCCGTCGTATGGATTGTCTCATGTGGTAGGTTAGTACTTTCTCACTATAATAGACTTTGTCATTGGCATCGTCTCCAGTTCGAATGAACAATGAAAACTACACTGACGGATCCGTTTAGATAATCAGTGTTGTTTTGGGAGTTGTGGTGTTCCCTTATTTTCTACTTCTTAGGTGCCGCCTTTATCTCAATTAGTAGTGCCATTTGATCCCCTCCCATCGCTCGTTCTGATCGACCAGCTACCTTTCAATACTCCTGTTATTGGGATGTCCTTGACCTGTTTATTTACATGACCTTGGGATCATGAGGATTCCGTCTTTCCGAACTCGCTTTAAGTAAGAACAAGTGGAGGGGGTGGTTGTATGTGTGCTTAAATATTGCAATCCGGATTTGTGTTCCCTACGGTTCACAGATATTTTCTCATACCATCAAATGCACTATCCGATAAGCAGCTAGCATTTTACACCTTGCCTAATCTTTGCCTTTGATTTTCTGTGTTCTCACTCACAAGATGTGCTGCACAACCTGTGAGATTTGTGTAGAATCAAGCAACGTTCATAGGCAGTCCAGAGAGGACGGATTGTATGCAAATATGACTGTGTGTATGACCGCCGTTTCTCGAGATATTCGTTTTATCTCCTGATACTATCGTTAGTTCTTTTCATCCAAGATATTCCCGACATCTATTCAAGTCGATTGCGGTTAGGATTCAGAACAAGATTGATCACAACCGTTTATTATTGTTTCCGTCAGAATCCCGCAAAGTCATATCTATTTTTGTTTGCTTGAATATTTCCGAAGTTAGTTGTAAAGTTTACGACCGTGTGATCTTCAGATAAACCACCTCTTATGAAATTCCATTCCATAACATAATGCGCTATTTATAACCATAACCTAACCGTCAAGACAGCCGGGTGATATGTGAAAACCGCAATCCTTTTGTGTTCAATCAACTGAATTACATGTCGTTTGAATGGGACAAACGTCAAAAGTGCCCTAAACACATCAAAGCTCCCTTAAGTTGATAAACATAGTCGGAACTAGGAAGGTGTGGGTGTTGTTCGTACACTTATTCTTCTTTGGTTTGTAATGAACGCTTTTTGCCAACTCCTGTAAGCGAACTACCGGTGTTTTATCGACCTGTTTCCTCACTTTGATGGAGAAACCCTTCTGCCCTGTGAAGATAATAAATGGGATTTCATCAGCACACACTTTTTGAGACGCTTAATGCTTTAAAAGCACTTCGTGAGATGCAATGTAAATATAAACATTCACAACTGACAATATTGAAACTATTTTAATGGGTCAAGATGGAAGGATGGAGGATGAAACGAAAGTTTTTCCTTAGCACCAATATTGTCCTAATATCGCCTACGCTCACTGACACGATTGAGTCTACATTATCCGTGCTTTGCTGGTTTTTCAGAATGGACTAGTGAACGAAGTCTTCGTCCGCTAGGGCCGCGTCGTTTGAGCCTAAGTAGACGTGATGTTAAATAAAAGTCATCAACACAAAGTCCTTGGTTAGCATACGATAAAAATCAAGCGGTTCCTGAATGCTGGGTTTTTCACTGGATTCGAAGCACTTCTCAGTGAAACGCACTGTGCGTCTGCTTTCAAAGCGTGCCATTTTAATTCCTCGGCTTCCCATTGAACCTGTGTTCATACTGTGCAGGGCTATCGGAGCAAAACGTTGAACGTGCAAGCATTGTCCTATCCGTTAAATCTACCTGGTAAAGCCTATTGAATACTGTGAGTTCTGGATGCTTCTTATAGCGAATTACCAGGACGGGAACATTTCACGAGAAGCTTCATCTGCCCCATCCAGTTAACTGAAGTCGTTATCATCGTGAAAAGTCGCAGCCACGTACCGTCCGTACAAAGGGTTAAATCAAATCTTTCGATAAATTCCTTTTCTGTTCAGTCCAAGATTGGCTCCGATGGGTTTCTCACAGTTACTATATTTTATACATGTTCGTGGTAACTTCCATTAAATAAAATAGCTGCGTTTAGGGCATGCCTGTGGTAAGTAATTTACAAACAGCATCAGTGAGAATACCAAGATTGATATAGTTTAGTCACATAAGTATAAACATTATTAAGAATCTCAGTGAATAGGTTATTGATAAAGAACATTGATGAAATGTATTTGGCTCACAGACTCGAACGTGTCATTCAGGCTGCGACCGAAAAATGCCGATACCACGGATTGAACGAATTACACCAACCACATAGTGGCGGAAGTTTTTGTGTTGCGAGAATAGTACGCAATGGAGCACTGGATTTGGACTATATTTTGGGTAATCCGTACGCACGTTGAGGGAGAGTTCAAGGATCGTCTATTGATCAACGACACGTCTTTGGTACACAACTTTCAGTCAGTTTTCTGTTCGATTGCTTCGAAAGCATCTTGATGTTCATCGTCAATTTGAAAGTTGTTGGCAGTACCTAGTATGCCTAGTATCCTTTGCACATGATCTGTTCACTCCATCTGGGCAAACCAGACTCCTTGTGGGTAGAAATTTGTTAACGTTTTTCGTTACAAAACTGACTGAAAATTGGTTTAACCTGTTTCGCTAGTAGAAAGGAGTGTGGCTAGCATACAGTGATACCAACGAAAGAGAAAGAACAACTGTTCTCCTTTGCTACCAGCTGCTATTATCCTGGGTAATACGTTTCAGTGTGTGAATTTAGCCACAGAGGTTTTCGGTTTGTTCATTCCGCAAAATATAACTTGAAACGGAATGTGTGTGCACAGTACACCCTCCATTTAATTCCTACGTTTACTCTCGAGAATAAAACGCATGCGAGCAGCTGAACACTAAGATAAACCACGAAAAAAACAAGTGGTACAGTTGTTCATAAGTTCATAACATTCAACACATGGCGCTGCTTAACTTTTTCATATCCTTGTTTTTTTCCACCCTCACGTCGCGATCACTTAGCTGTTTCGTGTCATTTTCGCCCGTCTTTGTGTCCAGCTAGATCATACTTTGCTCACGAACAAATAACCTCATCATATTCATTTGCGAAATTGATAAAAATTTGAGCTGTATGTCAATCATAACCACTCGTTCAATTTCTTGTTCTTTGCAACTACTAGAATTTGCTCGCGGATAGCGCCTCAATCAGTTCTTCCGCTGGAGGTCACACAACTCCTGCCGATCAAAGCGAACGTTCATCGATCTCACCTCGTGAAATTTCTGACAGTCAAGATAACCGTGACACTGCACCCTCTTAACAGGGATTTAAAGCACGTTCTGCTTTATGAAGTTTACGGGGCATCTTTTGTTTACATACATATATCCGTACCGTCGCGCTTTTCTGTTCTGTGACTTCATTCGCATCTTTGTACACTTGTTCACACTCTACTTTCCGTCTTTGTTCTTTTTTTTTTGGGGGGGGGGATGGTGCATGACCTGTTTCAGTTACTATGTCGATCGATTGAAGATCCTTTCATGTTTACCTTTGTTACTCCAATATTGTTATTTCTATGACTTATTACTCTGTACCAGTCACTATCCACAGGAGGTCGTGTGTTTTGTTCCTGTCACTGATTTTTCCACGCGCCATGACATGACAACCAACCCCGTCCCTGTCGTATTTAGCCATTGGCGTGCTTGTCACATACCTATCCATCTCCCACTGGAAACTCAGCTTCCTACCATCACCATCCATTTTTTTCTGGTCTGTCGTGATCATTGTGGTCACCACTTTGTGTTACTCTATTTTTTACACGTTTTTTCTTTTGGTTCTGCCCAGGTGCAGATTGTTTTTTCTTCCTATCCCCCCTCCTTGCATGACAGCTCTATATGTCTCTCCCTACCGCTCGGGATGTATTTGATCTCTTTTACGTGCACATCAAACTGCGATTGTCTTCTGACTGATTGAAATTCGCCACATGCGATTCCTGGAGTGTTCTCTGTTCTTGTTTTTCTTTTCTCCGTTGTGCTTTTGTTGGATTAAGAATTGTTTCACTTCTGGCTAGTCATGTTCCCTCTGTTGATTAGAACGTCATTGGGGCGGGTGAGAAGTTCGGTGGGATGAAAGGAAGCAAAATGGACAGGCAAAACCCTGACAACCACCTGAACAATTGTATCTCGATGCAAGGAGCGTCCTTGATCGATAATTATTCAGGTTGGGGCATGCTGCGTTGACAACTGTGAATTCTGTTGAAAATATTTGTGATGAATAACAAGAGCGCTGGATGGCTGTTTCTTCCCGCTTGTGACTAGTCACCAGTGCGTAACTTTTGTATCCCTGTCAGGACCCTAATCGCGAACCTTCGGGTTGGGACAGAAAACCCTTACCCCCGAGCTCCACACGGTCGACGGTCATCACCTTATGCGAATAGTTCTATCAGTTTTACAGTATCAATCTAGATTTGCCTATGCGATTGTTCAGCGGCACCAAGCACACTTGATAGTCTTGGGCATGAGTTTCACTCCTTGCGAAGTCGTTAATTTCCCACTATTTGAATGCATTTAAAAGCGATGATAAACATACGAGGTGACCTACTAACAGCGCACGGTCAGCTACTTACTGAAATCCAGTCAAGAAGGGAGATCTCAGCCTTGGCCTTTAGCGCAATCCCGACACCGCGCGCGTCGAATGCCGAATTGCCTGAGACGCGAAGAGTGAAGCGTGAGTATGAGGTTCGGTTAGGCGAATGCAGAGTAATGAATTATGATCTGTACATGTGTTTCAGAGGCACAACATACATCTCTACT